TGCTGTTATTATTATTGTTGTTATTGCTGTTGTTATTATTGTTGTTATTGCTGTTGTTATTATTGTTATTATTATTATTGTTGTCGTTGTTATTCTATCCTTACTGATATCGTCTACAGTTACCATATAAGAATTACCATAACTCCACTTTATATCAGACATCCAACTTGTTACTATGACCTTCCAACATAAACCTTACTGGCTGTAGTAGTGTTTAGGGGTGAGGCTGGCCTGGGTGTGGTCGTGTTTAGGGGTGAGGCTGGCCTGGGTGTGGTCGTGTTTAGGGGTGAGGTTGGCCTGGGTGTGGTCGTGTTTAGGGGTGAGGTTGGCCTGGCTGTGGTCGTGTTTAGGGTGAGGCTGACCAGGCTGTGGCTCGTGTTTAGGGTGAGGCTGACCAGGCTGTGGTCGTGTTTAGGGTGAGGCTAACCTGGCTGTGGTCGTGTTTAGGGGTGAGGTTGGCCTGGGTGTGGTCGTGTTTAGGGGTGAGGTTGGCCTGGCTGTAGTCGTGTTTAGGGGTGAGGTTGGCCTGGCTGTAGTCGTGTTTAGGGGTGAGGCTGGCCTGACTGTGGTCGTGTTTGACTTGGGTTAGAACAGGCTTAGTGTGGCACTTGTAAAATATAATTACCTGTGTTATGTATTGATGGTGTGAAGGATGACGTACTGACACTCCCTGCTGCTAGTAGTTAAGGAGAGGTGACTGATGATGATAATGACGATGGTTTTAATATTTAATAAGCCAACGATAACATAAACAGGATATAATTACCAGGTGTTGACGGTATCTTTAATGACAGGTTACGTAATTCCCAGGTGGTAACAGTTAAACAGTAATTGCAGATATAGGTACATCAATTCCCAGGTACATCACAGGTAAGTTTCTCAACACAGTTATCACCCAGGCGGTACCTCGACTACTTTTACTCTCTATATCACCAAATATTACCTCCCAAACAAGGGAAGCCTGACCACGCCTACCACAACAAAGCCAACGAGATAAGGTGAGGTGAGACGAGGTGAAGGTGAGATGAGGTGAAGGTGAGGTGAGGTAAGGTGAGGTGAGGTGAGGTGAGGCACTGAGGCAACACTATAATGTACATGCTTGTTATTTCACCCTTACATGTACAGTATATAACCACAAAGTTCAGACTGGTTTTACAACAAAGACCAGATCCCCCCCCTACCCCCCCAAAACCCATATGGTGTTTAATTCTATACTGTCGTGGTTGGGTGTGGTCTCTGGAGTGTGTGTGTTGGGTGTATGTGGGTGAGTGGGTGAGTTGGGTGGGTGAGTGGGTTGGGTGGGTGAGTGGGTTGGGTGGGTGGGTGTGGTGTGTGGGTGTGGTGTGTGGGTGGGTGGGTGCGTGGGTGGGTGTGTGTGGTGTGTGGGTGTGTGGGTGTGGTGGGTGGGTGTGTGTGGTGGGTGGGTGTGTGTGGTGTGTGGGTGTGGTGGCTGGGTGGGTGGGTGTATGTGGGTGATTTTTGTGTGGTTATGCAGATGTCGTAGTTTCGATAAGCCTGGTTGTATGAAGTGTCGTGGTTGTGTATATGGCGTGGCTGAGTGTCATGGTTGCCTGGTTTCGTGGTTAGGAGTGTTATGTTTGAGTCTCGTGGATGCCTAGCCGTGGTTAGGATATAGCCAACGGCGTGGTTAGGAGTGAGTGGTCAGTAACGTGGTTTTGCTGCCCGTAATTAACTCAACTCTACGGACTTTGACAACTCGTTTATTTATTTTCCTCTTTTATTTTTGTTGTTTCGTCAGAGAGCAAAAATAATTACCAACTTTCAGACCAAAATATTTTCAACGTGATACAAATAATTCCCAGCAATATACAACTGTTATTTCCTCCGTGTTTTTTTTTTTATATAATTTCTTTCATTACTTTTTATCTCATATTCTTTTTATCGTCCTCTAAAGTCCAGTATTTATCATTATTTTTTTTTTGCCTTATATTCGTAGTCACTGTTTGCTTACGTTGGAGTTATGTCACTTATTTAACATTGTTCTACGTCGTTTAACTTTGTTCTTACGTCACTTAATTAACATTATTCTACGTCATTATTTAACATTATTCTACGCCATTATTTAACATTATTCTACGTCATTATTTAACATTATTCTAAGCCATTATTTAACATTATTCTACGTCATTATTTAACATTATTCTACGTCATTATTTAACATTATTCTACGTCATTATTTAACATTATTCTACGTCATTATTTAACATTATTCTACGTCATTATTTAACAGTCATATAACATAAAGGTTGTGTTTTATCAGCTCTATGTCCGCCTAGCGTGACCTGACTGATGTTGTATTGCGTGTGAGGGATAGTTTATACCGTATGTATTTGTCTTTGTATGATTTGAAACAACCAAACAGCAATATTCTCACATTACTCATATGATTACTTAAAACTCACTTAGCTAATCGTATCTCTCTCTCTCTCTCTTAGCTAATCTGTTATCGTATCTCTCTTGTTTATTCTCCTATCTCTATCTCTCTTAGCTAATCTCCCATATCTCTATCTAAACGATTCTCCAATCTCCCTCTCTATCTTAACTATTCTCTTTATCTCTCTATCTCTCATTCGTTACTTGAGGTTAGTCTCTCTCTCTCTCTCTCTCTCTCTCTCTCTCCTTTATTTCCTATTTATCAAACTGTGTCACTCACAATACGGAAGTATAATCAATTTCAGATAATATTTTTCCTGTTAAATTAATTAGCTCTGTCCCCTAACACACAGAGAGAGACCACCACCACAGCTCTAGAAATTACCCGTCAGGTTCCCCGCTGGCAATAACAATGACTCGTTACTTTTATGTACACGTTTTTCAGCACATAAGAACCAGGTCCAATATATGAACCTTATATATATATATATATATATATATATATATATATATATATATATATATATATATATATATATATAAATTAACTCTCAACATCACACTGCAGTTGATAAAGAACTTCATATACGAAAATTAATATATAATTAACCTCTCACCAGTATAGTAAAATTTATATAGTTCCATTCCGTTGTGGTAAAATTTATATATACATTAATATACCAGTTTATTTGGGTTTTATATAACACTTGGCAGTTGATTACCAATTTATATATGACGCAATTGGGATGATGTAGCGTGCAACACTTTATATCATATATTAAATTGGCTCTTTTAGGGAATACCAACTCGTGTATATTGATATAATCTAACACCTGATCACAATACAGGAGAGTAAACACCCTGTCAATACCTGTCATACTCTAGCGACAATCCCTTCAATGTGACCAGGAAAAAAGTAGACCATAAAGCCGGATTGTCGGAGGAGGAGGAGATGTGCACGAGAAGGTGGTGTGCAGGAGGTATGCAGGAGGAGGAGGTATGCAGGAGGAGGTGTGCAGGGGGAGGAGGTGTGCAGGGGGAGGAAGTGTGCAGGAGGTGTGCAGGGGAGGAGGTGTGCAGAAGGAGGAGGAGGTGTGCAGGAGGAGGAGGTGTGGGAGGAGGAGGGAGGAGGAGGTGCAGGAGGAGGAGGAGGGTGTGCAGGAGGAGGAGGAGGAGGAGGTGTGCAGGAGGAGGAGGAGGTGTGCAGGAGGAGGAGGAGGTGTGCAGGAGGAGGAGGAGGTACGGAGAAGGAGGAAGTATGTAGCAGGTGGTAGTGATGAATGGCTGCCAATCAGTCACTCGGGCACTACAGCTCACCGGATGTATTGAGTACCTCACCCATCAACACCCATTCCCCGTGGTGTTAGGTGGAGTGAGAGGGTAAGAGCTACATCTGCTGCTTGCCTATAGTTCCTGCTTACTGACACACCTGCTGCTTGCTTATAGTCTCTGCTTACTGACACACCTGCTGCTTGCTTATAGTCTCTGCTTACTGACACATCTGCTGCTTCCCTAGTTCCTACTTACTGCCACACCTGATACTTCCCTAGTCCCTGCTTACTGACATACCTGCTTTACTGTTTTGAGAGGTGAGGTGTTTGTGCAACGATGGATGGTGGTTGTGTGACGAGTTTGGTTATGATAACTAACTTAATGGGCAGATTCTTTGTACTCAAGGAGCGGTTAGCATCGTACTCAAGGGATTAAATAATTTCCTCCTTCGTACTAAGAAAAAAAAAGTCCATCTCTTAGTAAGGTAATTAAATGTCTCTATAACATTTTTTTTACACACTGAAAAATGTAAAAAAAAAATTTCAAAGGTTTTCCTACAAACTGTCAAGATCTCTCCCCCCCTTTCAATGACATTTCCTATAAAAGTGACAATGTTAAATAACCCTCTTGAGTCATGCAGCTGTTAGTGCCAAGGCTGAATGGCACATATCAAATTATTAATCTATGTCTGTCAGTTTCCGTCAGGTAACTAGAGGCTGGCAGTGTCAGTCGCTGTCAGCTTGATTACTGCCTCCTGACCGACCATCCATGTATTATGTGAAGCCACGAACTCTTGAGCTACGCCAGGTGCTTTAAGGTTTAATGTTAGCATGATACCTGTACTGTATGTATGTATGTATGTATGTATGTATGTATGTATGTATGTAAAGACAACGTTTACAGTGTGTCTACGCCCCCCAACACTGAACCCTGGACTTAAAACACGAACAAAATTTCAGGTGTGGTTGGGGAAGGTACTGTATATATGTATACTGTATATACCTGACCTCACCACACACCTGTAATCACCTCACCACACACCTGTAATCTCGTTGAAGTTCAGGAGTTGGCGTGACACTTGGTTTTTACACCCACACACATGCTATAAATTTCTTTAAACACAATATACATACATACATACATGCAGGTACATACATACTGTACATAGATACACATATATACATACATAAATACATACATATATACAGGTACATACATACATATATACAGGTGCATACATACATACATACATACACACATATACATACATACATACACACACAATCACGTTCCAAAAACAGTTATTGTGTCAACTTTGACCCCATGGAAATTACCTCTAATATCAAGGGACCTCTGAGCCCCTAAGGGTGGTTTAGAGGCCAT